CCCTCCTCCTTTCCTCCTTTTCTCCCTAAAAAAACCCTCATTCTGGTTATTTCCTTCTGCTTTGCGTTTTAAAAAAACAACAACGTCCAACACAGCATATTGTCGTGCCCCATATATCCAAGTGAAACCTCACGAAAAGACTTTAATTTCACAGCCTAGGTCAGATATCGATTTAAGATATTATTTGGATGGCAAAGAAGGATGCTAGTGTCAATCAATGGCCCAAAGCTTTCATAAGCCCAGAAAGCAAATTTTTTTTTTCCAGGAGAGAGGGAAAAAACCTGTTTCATGCTTTTAAGAATTGCACCTACAAAATTATATATTTTCTTCGCTGCTTTTTTATTATTATTCAATTTAAGAAATGATGAAATTCCATAATAGCGGTTCTCAAATCCCAGTTGGTGGAAACTTTGTGGGTCTTCTGAACACCGGTACGATAGGCTAGATGATGCATTGGCGGGGTACTTGCTTGCCATGGATGAAGCTCAATATCACCATGTCTTATAGGAGGCTAGTACACAGTCAAGGGAAACATTTGCCAGACTGGTCCGGTGGTAGACCGTCCAATCCGTCCAATAGAAGAGAAACATCGCGGTAAAGGGTACAATTTGAACAGAAACATCGTGGTAGACCGTCAGGTAGAACAGAAACATCGTGGTAGACCGTCAGGTAGAACAGAAACATCGTGGTAGACCGTCAGGTAGAACAGAAACATCGTGGTAGACCTTCAAGTAAGTAAACCGACACCAAATTATCTTTTACTTTTATACACCCCACTGCTTTTGCGGTTTTTCTTCTTTTTCCTGCAGTTTTTCTTTTGTGTTATTATTTCGTGGGCGTCTGTTATTAACATGTAATTGAATTATTTGGGCAAAAATGGAGCGACATTTTTTTCATAAGTTTATTACATTTTCAAAAAACTTAATTTCATTCGTCCTGTTAATTTTGTATTCTTCGTAATTTTATTTTATTATTTTGTTTAATTTTGTTATGCATATACAATTATATCTATTTATTTTGTTGTGACATTTTTATGTGTTTGATTGTTTTTTTTTAAACTTGTTCGAAATATTCTTACAATACTATATTTTAAGGTGTGCGTGTGTGTGTGTGTGTGTGTGTGTGTGTGTGTGTGTGTGT